TGTTTTCCTGGATTATGTAAAGATAGTTTATCTATTTAAAGGTTTCAGAGCCTATTTTATTGTGCTTGAAGAATAATTATATTTTTTCTTGTAGCTGAACCGGTGTCGTGGAACAGTGTCTGTTTACGAGAGCAGTATTTCAAAGAACAGAGTGGAGCTAAAAGCGGCACAATACAAGGACATAGATAAGCGGCACTTTGATCAACTGATCCAGCTAAAGGTAAGACGTAGTATTGCCTTGTGACAGTGCCTGAATGATCATTAAATTCCACTCTATGTTAAATTGAACATTTCATTTTGGCCAGACAACTGAAATGGCAAATAAAGACTTGGATAGATACTACAATGCCCTTGACAAGTAAGCCTTTCTCGAGTCCTAATATAAGCTTCTGGCTAGTTGTTTTTCATTTTACACTATCTAATTCACAAAATCATTTAATCTGCATTTCCATCTTATTGAATACATACAGAGCACTAATGCGCTTCCACACAATGAAAATGGAGGAAATAAATAAGATTATAAGGGAACTGTGGCAGCAGACATACAGAGGTCAAGATATGGATTACATACGAATACACTCAGATTCCGAAGGTGCAGGCACCCGCTCTTACAGCTACAAGGTATGCTAAGGAATTGACAACATGCTTTTATGTGATCATCATTAACATTGTGGTAAACCCTGTTATTTCTTAGGTTCTTATGCAGACTGGTGATACAGAACTTGAAATGAGAGGAAGATGCAGCGCAGGTCAAAAGGCGAGTTGTTCTAAAATCGCCGTGTAGAAGCATTGTTATCTGTTCAATATTATTTTAAGCTTCGTTGTTGAACTCAGGTTCATTTTCTTCTTCATCATCTCCTGCAGGTTCTTGCTTCATTGATAATTAGGCTGGCTTTAGCTGAGACATTTTGCTTAAACTGTGGAATATTAGCCCTCGATGAGCCAACTACAAACCTGGATGGGCCCAATTCAGAATCTCTTGCAGGAGCTCTTCTTAGGTAAGAACTCAGACCTATACCCCTAATGATTTATGAATTATGATGATGATACATGTGTACATATAATTCCTCTTACATAGAAATTAAACTATCTAAAGACTGAAATCGTCATTATTGTGATTTTACCTGTCTTTTCCCTATAATGTTGTGACACATCCTAAGACCATGGCTCTCAATATTGGATTATATATATGTATATTTGCATTCTCCAGGATCATGGAAGACAGAAAGGGCCAAGAGAATTTCCAACTCATAGTCATTACCCACGATGAACGCTTTGCTCAAATGATTGGCCAACGGCAACATGCTGAAAAATATTACCGGGTCGCAAAAGATGATATGTAAGCAAAACATTATCGCTCTCGTCTCTTCTTCTTTCTATTCTTGCTTTTCCATTTTCTCTGCATCCAAGATCTGAAACTTCACAACTCCTGATCTTCTCAGGCAACACAGCATAATCGAGGCCCAAGAGATCTTTGATTGATAAACTGGTTGCTTGTTCTATAAACCAACATAACAGCTTTAGCTAATGTTTAACGGTAAGCTCATCTTTTTGTAGCTTTCTTGGGTCTGTTGTTTACAACTCTACATATTGTTTGATTAGATGTGTGCAAAATTTTCAGTTGAATTGAAAAATCGGTATGTAGAGGTAACTCTTTCAACCCTTAAAGTGTATGTAAAGAGAATGCAACGACATTCCAAAGTTTGTTGATGGTTATGATATTTCAACAAGTCTCGTCTCATCTTCTTAATAACATCTTGTCTTTATTTATGAACAACATAACATCATTAAAACCATCGACCCATTCTTAATAGCTTCGTATCATACACCTTTTAGTCTTTTCATGATCATATTATGGAAATTTAAGGCTGAATAAGAAATGAAGTTAGTAGATAGGACTGACAACAGGAGTGAAACCTAGCAACTGCTTAGAATGGAGCCATGGTTGAATAACCACAACAGAGTCAAACATCCTGGTCGAGCCATTGGGTTGAGTCACTTCAATCCTTAGATAGTATTTGGTCCCAGCGACGACCTGTTTTTGAGCCGATACAACTCGGCTAAACACCAATGGATTCGACATGGCTGTGTCCGTTTTCGCAATGGATCCTATGTTTCCTTGCTCGGTCTGTTCTTGTTGATTGAATTGCTCCACGCAGTACCTGTGATCAAACACAATCACATCACATTTCTAATTCATATCATACATGTATATATAGGAGATGTATACCTTCCAAGTTCTTGAATCTCCCTGTTGGTCCGAATGTTTGGAACACCTGACTTCCCTCCGAGAACTACGCTCTTCCTGAATGGGTTCGCCGCCGATGGAGTCACGACAGCGATCACCAGAAACCCTAACAATGACAATATAAGAGAGACCTTCAACATTGCAGCCATTGCTTCTCACTTTTTGTTTTCTTCTTAGGTTTCACAATTTGATATTTTGTGTGATTTATGTAGCCTCTTAATGTCTCTTTAAAGCTTTCTTTTTTCCCCTTTGAGGACTGATCTGTGCTGTATTTTTGTGTGAGAAAGAAAGAGAGAGAGAGAAGTGTTTATATAGAGAAAGAGTTTAGGCAATGTTTGGTGTTAGGGTGTACGTGAATGGGGTCCCCATGCCATCGGCACCTTCGGGGTTCCGCATCTTTTAAGTTACTTTCTGATCCAATTAAGTCTCCACGTGAAGTGAGCCCCCACCTTTTTAACGTATATATATGTGAATTGTTCCGATCGGTAATTTTGTTTTTATTATAAATCGGATTCGAAAACACTAATACATCCTAAATTCCTAATCTATGAAAGAAATGGATTATTATTTTGTAATTTAAGGTGTTGTTTATTTATGATGGTCAACTAGTCCATAAATAAAATCGAAATGCAATGATTTGATACCTGATTTTAAACGGGAAAATTTCCAAAAAAAAACCCTAAAATGATTTTAATTTTGATATTCTTTTGGTAAAATTAAATAACTTATGTTTTTTAAGGAATTATTCTAAAAATAGTAACGGCGTTAACGTCAGTAACGGAGACGATAGAAAATTGGAAAAAAAAATAGTTCGTGTTTGTTTTGTCAACAGTAAATTAGTTTGGGTTTTTTTCGGCAACAGAAAAAATTTAGGTTTTTTTCTAACAAATATTAAATAGTTGGAATTTTTTTCAAGAATTTTCCCGATTTTAAACTTAAATATGAATAGTTTAAACTTTAGATCACCGTATATTGGTTGATATTAATATGTTAAAAAGACAGAAATTTTGTAGGTTTCTCACAAAAATTTAAGAAAATATGGATGTCTTAGTAAAAAGTTCAATCAAACTCTTTTTATATGGTCTTTTCTATGTTATATCTTCACCAATGAAACAATTTTTAATTTTCTAATTTTCTAATTTGACCAAGGAACGAGGGATCATGGGTCGCTCTAACCTTTTCCTTATCGCCTCGATATGGTGTTGAAATATTGTTGTCGTTTTGTTGGTTTTGTTATAATGCAGGAGAGACTTATTGTTAGGAGGGCGGGCGACACGTATCAACTGAATTTGACATCTGCCCTCTCTTCTCTTCGCATGCTGCTCACGTAGCACATTCGATCTTACGTATGCCAAACTATTCATACATAATTAAAATACTCAGTCCGCTGAGGTACTGTATAATATTTTCATGTATTCGTACAATCAAGCTATTTTAACTATAAAATACATTCAAGCTGCAAAAATTTAACGTCACCATGAAAATATTAGAAATAAACTTATCTTTTCGACACAGCAATTCATTCTCATTTTAACTTACGACTGGTCAAGTACAGAGTAGTTAGTAAAGGACCTTGGCACGAACCCTCCTAGTCAACAGGAAAAAAAAGGTTGTATTTTGGGTTAACCATGATAGTAGATACTAGATTGGTAGGTATACACAACTTTAAAATAAAACATAATTATTTGGACCATGTTCTCCAAATTATGATATATTCATTAGAAGAAGGAGCGGTATTTAAGAATTGAGAGTTTTTAAAATTCGAAGCCCAAAGAATGTCTTTGCAGAGAGATTCACTACACCAATATATATTATCCGTCGTTATGCTTTGTAATATGTTAACCAAAACTGTTTCTTTCTTTATTTTAATGAAATTTGATGTTAACCAAAACTTGGTAATCACCTTTAGAAAGAACCGTTAAGAACCCCATAGACTAAAACCCTTAACATTGACATCAAAAGTACCTTTTGTTCAACTTCAAGCTAATATACGTACTACTGCTTTTCGTCTTCAAGAAAAACAAACCCATTGAAACCAAGTCGCCTTGGTCCAGTAATAAAGGAGAAAAAAGTCTCCGCCACTTGGGTTTGAATAGTATTGACTACCGGGGTTCGAATTCTAACATAGTTTGGGCCGAAAATTATGGGCTATTTTAGTTTCATTGACCCAATAAAAACATATTCTACTGCTTTGACTAATCCTTGACAACCATTATAAAGCTATAGAGATTTTCCGTATCGAGATTCTGTGACGTTCTCTGCCTTCTCTCTTCATCTGTCTCAAAGAGGTCATTCGTGGACGTCTCCTCATGCTGAGATTAGATGTATGTGGTTAACATGGATCTCAGGTTAGTAATACCCAAGTCATCTTTCTAATTACATTTCATTTATTATTCATCCAAAGTGGTTATATGATTGTGAACCACTAGAAAACGTGTTTTTTCTTAAGTGTGTGAAGTTTGATCATTTTGCTATTGACAAATGACATGGACATACAAGTTTTTTTAAGCGAAGCTGAATCCTTATCATTTTGTCATCGAGTTCTTTCCATCATCTTTACAATTTTTTTTTGTTGTTAATTTTTTTTTTGTCAAATTACAAAACTTATACTGAGTGAGAAATAAATAATGACCTTAATTATAATATAGAAAGAAAAATGCAAAATTTAACCAGAAAATGGATTTTATTTTAGAATTATCATTTCTTAGTGAAATCTCGTTTTTTCACATGGTATTTTATGTATGTATATTAGTAAAACTTTAAACTAATCTAATTTGAAGTAAAAGAATAAGAACAACATACTACAAGACCTACGAACAATTAAATACAATAACAAATGTAGGACATATTCTTTTTTGTTGTCTAATTAGTTATAAACTTAGTTACTCAGTCTTGAATTCTTTTCTCCTTATCCCTTCTATTCCCTTAACCACTCCCTTCACAGCAACATCAAAAGCATCTTCAAGAATCTCTCCATCTGGTTTGTTCCGGTTTGGTTTACTATACACAATCTTCGGAATCAATCTTATTACGTTTTCTCTCATACCAACCACTCTCTCATTTGGTATTCCACGCAAAATCTCTTCGATTTTGTTCTTTCCCCCGGTTCTCAGCTCCTTAACCGGTATATAAACCGAATATTCGCTATTGTTCTTAGGTATGTGCCATCTATATTGCTTGTATGCGCTACCTTGGTTAAAGAAAACCGGAATACAACCAGCCAAGATTGAATCAAATACCGATCTTCTGGTTAACGAATCACCCGGTGGTTGTAAGCAGAAAACTGAACTCTCGAAAAGTTTCATCAGACTGATCGGATCATCGCAGCTAATATTGGCTTTGACGTCACAGTCAAGAAACCTACACGTATTAGATGAGCTCTTGCATTGTTTTATAACTTGAGTGCGAACCAAACCGTTCTGGTTTCTAATTGGTCTTTGAGCTCCGGCGAATGAGAAGAGGATCGTCCGGTTAGTGAGCCTGATCTTGTCTTGCCAGCGGAGGATCTCGGAGGTTGACGTAGGGTGAAAGTAAGTGGGATAAGGAATTGCAAACTCGTTGTGGCTCGTTAGACTACGTTCAATGGTGAGGAAAGTGAGGTTTAGAGACTCCGGTAAGAGCATGAAGTTGGTTCCCCATGCGGACTTATTGTCGGAGTTTCGCCGGAAATCTCGTGAAATCCGACCGGTTACGAGGAAATGGTCTCTACCTGACATATCTGCATTTCAATTATAGATAAAAGAAAAAAATGATTTTGTAATTTTGTCAAAAATAAATAAAAATTGGCGGGTGGACCAAAAAAAAACACATTAAAATTGAATGATCATATTTAAATTTGGGTGATTTGCAAATTATTTTTTTTGACATAACTACACAAATAATTTTCTCAGTTATTAGTAGTTGAAATCCGATCTCTTAGAGCATCTCCAACTCCACTCTATTTTTTCCTCTAAATTCTAATATAGAGCAAAATTCTCTCCAATCCTACTCTATATTCTACTCTAAAATAGAGCAAAAGTGAAGATTTCTCTATAGCAACTCTATAATTTTCCTCTATCTTTTACACTACTTCTATTTTATAGTAAGGAATAGAGTAATACATTGGAGAGAATTTCACTCTATTATAAAGTTATTCTATTTTAGAGCAAAAATATAGAGCTTTACATTGGAGATGGTTTTAGTTACGAGGAAATGGTCTTCACCTAATATACCTATATTTCAATTAGTAATAACCGAAAATTATTTCTGTAGTTAATTATGTCAGAAAAAGTTATTTGACCGAGATACTTTAAAATTAGGATTTAATAATATATTAAAATTTCACTTCAAATATATTAGAGGATGTCAATAATTAAGATAGCTACTAGGCCTGGGCATTCGGGTACCCGTTCGGGTTCGGTTCTTTTTTTTCGGGTATCGGGTCTATTCGGGTAGGGGGTCAAGACCCATTCGGGTATTCTAAAAATTTGGTTCGGGTCCGGTTCGGGTTCGGGTCGGTTCGGGTATTTTAATAAAAAAGCAAAATACCCGAAAATAACCAAAAATACCCGAAATATTTTCGGGTTCGGGTCGGGTTCGGGTTTTTAACTCATATATACCCAAATCTAACCGAAATACTCGATTTATCGAAAATACAATGGTTACTCTTTACCCAAATATAACCAAAAATATCTAAAATACCTAATATATTCGGATTTATGATTGTAATTTTAGGTATTTCGGGTATTATAAATATAAATATAACTAATATTTATAGGTGTATATTTATATTTGGATACATTCGGGTACATTCGGGTATTGGATTCGGTTCGGGTTCGGTTCGGGTTTTTTTCGGGTAGGAGGTTAGGACCCATTCGGGTATTTTTAAAAATCGGGTTCGGGTTCGGTTCGGGTATTGTTCGGGTTTTTCGGTTCGGGTATTCGGTTCCGGGTATTTTGCCCAGGCCTAATAGCTACGTTTATAGAAATTTTTGTGTTGTATCATATATAATTTTATTTTATTTTTGAAAGCTAAAGAGTGTACTTAAAAAGGTTTACAATTATTCGAACAAAAAAAAGGTTTTTTATTTAAAAGTCGTCGGTGGAAAAGGAGTTAAGAAAAGTCGTCGGTACTCGCTAGCTTGAATAATTCGATTTAATTATGGATTAAATCGAAACAACAAGAAGTAATTGCAAATAATCGAAAACATTAGGGGCCAAAACGAAATACAAATAAATTATATTAAAAAGAAAAAACACGCGTACCTTTCCATTGAGGTTGCTTTTTAAGCCATTTAACAAGTTCCTTCCCGGCGGCGTCTCTCGCAGCAACGTTACGCCGCCGTAAATGTCGCCGGAAATCGAGACCAGCATAATAAGGTACGTAAATAGCTGAAGCCAACGACGAGTTTCTCGTCAAGCACTCATATCTCTTCATTTTCTCGTGAAAAATCACTTCGAGCATGAACTGGTTAGTGGCGTACCAGCTCGGAGAGTAGTCAAAACCGTCACCGCCGATCAAAGGTCCGATTCCGGAGTTTTCGAGATACTTACACATACTGATCTTGTCTTTTGGTCTTGTAATAGACTTGCAGTCTTTAATGATTTCAAGATTGAATCGAGAAGGTAGATTATGGATATATATGTAGCGACCGAGACACGGGTCGTGACGGCGTTGATGATCGGAGTCGGAGGTGGTTGTGGTGGTGGTGATGAGTATGATTTTGTCTTGGGAGAGACGAAGGAGAAGCAGAGAGATGGTGAGGAGAGAGAGGAAAAGTAAAAGAGTGGTTGTTTTTTCCTCCATGGATGATGATTCTCGATTGAAGAAACTGATGAATTGTTGTTCTTGTTCTTCATCGTGTAGTGTTCTTGATTTGAGGATCCATGTCAAATTAAGAGAGAGAAATGTCGCAACGCACACGCAAATGATAGATTATTAATAAATAAATAAAAATTTGGTGTCTTACAAAGGAATTTTTGATTGGGGAATAAAAGTCAGATATCTCATATTCAATTAGTTTCATATCTCTTAAAATTTTTTAATCGTCTACATACGTAGGTGGTTAGAAACTTCTTCTTGTGATTTTTTTTTTCTTTTCCAAAAATCCATATTTGGTCAAACTGTCAAAGTAGTATGGCTCTCGAGGCTGATTCCTATTGATCGGAGTTGAAATATATAATAGTAAACCTTTTTACTGAATTGTTTACTATAGTTCTTTTCATGCCTACTTTTTTTTTTTTTTTTTGGTTTTATTGGAATTAGTTAGCCTTTACTAATAAGATGTTATTTCTTATTTTATTACTAATAAATAAAATCCAAAGAAATAAAACCAAACTATTTTAAGTGTCTTGTTGTCTAGTACTGTACGCTTTGTGTTTACCAAAACACACATTGCTTGCTTTGTGGCCATTATTATACTTAATAAGGTCTTAGGTAATAAACTCAGACAAAGACGCTGCCGACAGACTCAGCCGGTTTGATATCGACCTCTCGCAGCTCTAGTTTCATCCCTTTGCCTCCTCCATTCGCCAATGGATGGATCCCCAGCTCGGGCCCTGTCATATACGCCCTTGAGTCCCTCTCCCCCTCAACCGATACCCCAAACCGCTTCTCTGCCTCTGCATCCATAATTAAATCCAAATCTGATCAATTACAAATGATACTAACTACATTTTGCCATATCAAAATACCATTTCTAGCTAAACCGTCTAAGCTGTTTCTCTATCGATACTCTAAACCGCTTCCCTGTCTCTGAATCCATACTCAAATTCAAGCATAACCTACCAATGCTCTTTACTACATTTTACCATAAATAATAGGAGACTAAACGGGTCTAGAAGCCGTTCTACATAATATAAATTGAAAGTTTCTAGATGTAAACTAAGTCTGGGCAAAATACCCGGAACCGAATACCCGAACCAAAAAACACAAAAAAATATAAGAACCGAACCGAAACCGATTTTTAAAAATACCTGAATGGGTCTAGACCTTCCTAACCGAACCGAACCCGAACCGAATTCAATATCCGTGGGTACCCGAATACAAATATACACCTAAAAATATTAGTTAATTTATATTTATAATACCCTGAATACCTAAAATTACAATAATAAATCTGAAAATATTAGATTTTTTTGAGTAATTCGAATATATTTGGATAACCAATGTTGTAGTTTTCTTTTGGGTAATTTTAGTATTTTGACTTTTTTAGATATATTTTGTTATATTTGGGTAAATAGTAACCAATGTAATTTTGAGTAATCGGGTATTTCAGTTAGATTTGGGTATATATGAGTAAAAAACCCGAACCTAAAAATATTTCCGGTATTTTTGGTTATTTTCGGGTATTTTGTTTTCTTACTAAAATACCCGAACCGAATTGAATTTTTAGAATACTCTAATGGGTCTCAACCCTCCTACCCGAATAAACCCAAAACCCAAAAAAAAAAAAAGAACCGATCGGGTACGGGTACCCGAATGTCCAGACGAACAAATAATTGACAATTAAATGATAATTGGTTAAGAGCTAAATATAGACAGCCTATAATCGTTTAATGACAAAAACGCATAATTTCAACGCCTGAAAAATAATAGTCATGGTTACGGCCTATGTACAAAACTACCTAGACCGTTTTTTCAACATTAAACTAAGACATGAAATAACTAATATACGAACTTTCTTACTTACCCTGAATCATCTCATGGAAAAGCTGGCCATCGCGGGTAACAGCCATCATGACATTAGGTAAACCAATGGGAAGCTCATGGCCCAAATCAACTTGCCAAAAATGGAAAACTTTGCCATAAGTCTTAGCGACTTTATCAAGATCTTGACGCTGAATGGCACCTGGAACACCAGGCATGAACAAGAAACCTCCTTTCACTTCCCACTCGTGCGAGTGCCAAAGCTTCTTCTCTTCGTCAGGCAAAGTCATGAACAGCTTCTCTGACACTATGTACTCCAATCCGATCAGACGAGCGTTTGCATCTGGACCGTCGTATATCAAACACTGACGCATCTCTTCATTCACGTGACTGCAGAAATGGTGAGCCTCTACTTGTCGTGCCATGTCGTCAGCATAGAAATGGAACCTGCCCAGCACAAGAAAATAAATAACATGCGTTCTCTATAACATTTTAAGTAGGGTTGGACGGTTAAACCAAATCGAAATGGAATTTATAAAAGGAAATCGAATAAAACAAAAATTAAACGAGATTAGATATAATTTTTTGTTTTCCCAAAAAATAAACCAGAAGATTGATTTTAAATCCCTTAAGCCATTCTCAAAAGTCAAAACCGAGAAAGCCAAATCAAACAAACGAATACTTACCCCTACATTCGAAACATGTTTTGTTGTTGAGATAAAAGAAAGTCTAAATATATACTCAAAACAAGTAGCTATATGTTTTTTTACTTTCATAGTGAGAATCACAAATCCAAGAGGGACAAAAAGAGGTGGAATTGATAAAGATGGGTAACGTACGCGCAGAGGTGTTGGTGGATTTGGTTAACAGGTGCAAAACTTTGAACGGCGGAGGCCGCAGCGTCAATTATGGAGGTTCCGGTCTTTGTTGCCTCCCCTGGAACCGCCGGTCCAGACGTTGTGGAAGAGTGAACTGCCTTCTCCATTTTCTCAATCAATTATTTGCTCTTTCTCTTCAAAAACTTTTAAACAACCAAACAAACAGAGTAACTGCAAAGAGAATAAGATCATGCATTCAACTTCTTGGTATGATCTAAAAAAGGAGGGATTGTATGCATGAAGTGTGACACGTGACAAGCCCAAAATATTACACTTGGGTTTTTTAGCTTTTCTTTAGGGCGTAAATAAGAATTAGTCAAATGTTTTAAATTTAGGGAAGCTGTTTTAGATGAGTGTTTGTGGAAAAGCTCGTAGTAAAGCTAAAAAGTTATTAAATGTTCCTCGTAACGCAGGCAATATGTAAGATTTTTGAATTCCCATCTGTTTACCTATGATGCAAGTAACGCAAAGACATAAACACAGAGAGTTTAGGGTTTCAGAAGTCTCTGAAACTCATTTTAGGGTCGACAGCTTTTGAACCTCTTCTCCCTCCTCTGCCTCGGCCTCTTCCTCGTCCCCTTCCCCTTCCTCCACGCCTCACAAAGGACCTCCCATGTTTCACTTCTACAAGTGAGAGAAGCAACTCATCACATAGAACACATCCTTGATGCAGAGTGGCTCCGTTCTCCAGAGGAGTAGTTTTCTTGTTGAAATCGATCTCTATGATGGCTGAATCGCACTCGGGACAGCGGTTACTTGTGGTGGCGATGCGATGAGCACCTTCCGGAAGCAAAACGATGCAACTACACAAGTTGCAGTTGAGTTTCCACTTGGGGAAGCTAACAGGGTCCAAGACGAGCGTGCCTTCACACTCTGGACAAGCGCAGACTCCTTGGTTTCTGACAGAGTGTTGGCATGTGGGATGAGGACAGAGAGAACATGGCATGCCTGAACCGGTTTTGGTTTTGGCAGGAGCATTGGGCGTCTTAGAGGCTCCAAAGAGTGTATCTATGCCTTCAAATGGAGGAGAGTTGTAGCAGTATGGGCAAAGTGGAAATGACTTCCCCTCAGGTCCTGGAACTGAATAGATCACGAGCTCAAAGTTGTCTAAAGGACATGTGAGTTCCTTGTATAGCTGTAAGAAAATCCGTTATCAAAGGATCAGACAGCTAGAAATTCACTAAGGTTTCAGCTTAAGAGTTTCAGTGATGAAAGGATTTTACCTTGATTGTGCCCTTTTGAGGAAGATAATAAACTTCTTCGCATGTGCCGCAGAAAAGACGTGGTGGGACTGCTGTGATGTGTTTCATGTAACGCAAGCATTTTCCACATTTGCTTAAAGCACGACCAGAATCAGCCAGAGGAGAGAACTGTGCTTCAAAGAGGGCATCCATGTGTTCGATCTGAAAGGACAATATAAGAAATATGTTAAGTAGGACCAAGTTAAATCGAAGACATTATCAAAGTAATGCCTTCAAAGACAACATAACATAAGCCATGTTTTCCAAACCTGTTGAACAAAATAACTGAATTTACGACGAAACTGCTGGATCACATGTTGCACAACATGTGAATGATCAGCTTGGCCCTTGGCAACAAGAGTGATTTGTTGCTCGATAAAACTCCGGATGTCTGGTAAGCAAAGGTCCGGATCAATACACTGATAGCCTCTTATTAGCGTGATTCCCAATGCCGTTGGAACCAATTTCCTCCCAGCTTGTACCTGCAAGAGTGTAAACAGCAAACAAGAGTAATGAGATTTTTCAGAAAAGAAATATGGATCTTCCTGAAAGAGTAACATTGTACCAATGAAGAAAAGCACATCGCATTTGGGTAACTTAACCCACCTGGACATAATTACGTTCACCAATGTTGTTTATATGCACAGGTATTGATGCATCTGTGCCTATGCCATGCTTCTCCATTAGAGATATCAGCTCACTCTCAGTAAGGTAGTCCGGAGGCGCAGTGTTCCCCTGTAGATTTTACAACATTCAGATACAAATAGAAAGGATAAACTAAAAACTGGAACATTTAAAGTAATTTGTGTCCTGGTACAAAGGAAAGAGCAGCAACAAAAACTGGAGAAGAATGTAACCTCGTAAAGCTCCACTCTTATAACTTCAATCCTCTCTCCTTTGAGAAAAGAAGGGAGTTTTTTCTCATCTACTGCAGACCATGGCATTATAGCTGTAAATCCCTTCTCTGTCACACGCTGCCCCGTACAATGGAAAGTTTCCCCACCAATTGACAGTTCCACTTTAGTCCTGAGATATCCATCCAAGAGAATACCACATATAAGATGTGCAAAGAATTAGCTGTAACTAGCATGGATTAAGCTACAAACAAGGCTTTATTTACCTTATGTATTTGCAGTTAGGTGAAACAGTGCCAATAAAATGTTGACAGACATACTGATAGAGTCGCCAAGCATCTCCTCCAACCATGACCTCGGTTGCTGCTCGCATTGGAGTGATAGGAGGATGGTCTCCTGCATCAGTTCCTGACTTGGGCTTATGAAAGCCGTCTGAGAGCAGTCTCTGTACGTAACCACCCCATACTGGATTACTAACTTGTGCTCTGAGTGTGTCTGTGAAGTCAAATGAAGAGGGATAGGCCGTGCTTTCTGTGCGGGGATAGCTGGCATAAAACATTAGAGTTTGAGTCAAAAGATGTTCCACCACCATGGTGTCGTTTAAATGTTTAAATAAAAGATACAGGGAAAAATGTGATGTATGTATATCCTCGTCAGCAAATGTTTTTTCCATACAATATCTACCAGTTCTTAATTACACAAACAAAAATGCCATTCAATAACGATTTGGGATTTACCAAAATTAGCCAATTATATGCTGGTAAAGAGGAGTTAAAAAATAATCTGGAGACTAGAGCATCGAACCTTATGAAGCCTTGGGTATACAATCGCTCGGCAAGATGCATAGCCGTCTGAGGCCCAAACCCAAGAGCACTTGAAGCAACCTGTGTAACCGCTAATGTTATGCTAGATCAGGGAGAGTAATTTGCATAATACTAACTTTATTGAACTTTGAACTCGGAACAAGACTAAGAAATGGCAAAAGCTCTAATCGCAACATGAAAAGAAAAAACAAGAAGAGAACGAAACACAATAAACAAAACAAGAAGAGAACGAAGATCCCAATGGTGTTGCCAACTCATCCCCAAAAACAACCATAGCTGATAAAAACAAAATTGCTTTGGATGAATGCCGAATATTTCAATTTTTCAGTCGTGTTATGCGATCATTAGTACAGGATATGGTGTTAATGTAAAACCAGGCAAGTTCAGTTCAAAGGAATGGTAATCATGATTCGTTACTTCTCTGACCTTTAGCAAACTCACGGTGTTAAGACCGGCTGGACGACCTTTGACTTCCTGCTTTTCTGATACGTCCATTACTTTTGCAGTTCTACCTTCCACGACCAACTTTTGGAACACAGTAGCAGCCTACAATTTGTGAAAGCATGAATATATCAGCAACGTAAGATTAGAAAGCAATAGTCAAGAATGTGAAAGAAATTCTAAAACAAGAACGAGACACTAACTTCCAGGTCAAACAATCTACGTCTCTCCCACTCTAATTGGAGCTCATAACCATCCTTTATAATATAAGGTCGCAGAGCCCAAAACTTTTCTGGCTTGAAAGTATTAATATGCATGTACCGTTGCACACAAAACCCAAGAGTAGGTGTCTGGCATGGCCCATATCTGAAATAAACATTAAAAGGGATCTTTCAGTGGTTAAAAGATTTAAACCAAATGGATACAGTGACTTGCATTATAAAGAAGATGGAAAAATCTAGTTGGCAATATAGTTTACAGAAAAACTACTATTGAATTTGAAGAGTAACAAAACGGACAGAATATCACGCACACTCTTTCCAGCATTTTGAGGAATACTTGAAAGGAGAACACATATGATCGAATCTAAACCCCCAAGAGAACCAGAACCATCGTTGAATCATGACAGCTCATTTTTAGTCCTATTATGAGTAATGAAGAGGTGCTTTGAGAAAGATGACAACATAAAAGCCTAAGTCTTACAAAGCTATGTCTATACTCATTTTTAGCATTTACATGAGTTGCTTTACTCGGACACTCTAAATGACAGGAGATAACCACAATAGAATTCCACAGCCGCATCTTATATGATCAACCGTACCAAATACCCCCAAGGAAAAAGAAAAAAAAATGCATCTGGACTAAAGAAAGAAATCGACCATAGAGACTCTTTACACACGGAACAAAAAGAGAGGAAAGGAAGGAGACGAGAGGAAACTGACGAGATAACTCTGCAGTCTAGATTCTGATATTTGCCTTGGAAATAACTTGTTTGAAATCGCGAGAATGCTACACCAACTTTTAGATCGATCTCTTGACGAGCATCTACTGCCAGTGCCTCATCTCTGTTTGGTTCAACAAGGTTGTCCATGGCCTTTGATATATCTTTCTCAGTCACAGAAGAAAACCGCGCCCGATAAACCTTTCTCTTACTATCTTTCATGTCAAAGCCAGTAGACTCAATAACTACAAGAATATAATGGTCAACAAATTATAGCAGCGGCCATCAAAACCATGTGCATTCCCAAATATGATTGGCATAGAAAAGATACTTATGTAGGAGAAAAATGATTCAAATATTGGTGGTTGCACCACAAATGCAAGAGCTAACCCGCAATCTACTACTACAACTTAAAGGGTTTACCATTGGATACTGACATAATATACAGGTTCAGCAGTATGATATGTTACATATAGTAAAAATAGAGAAGACAGTATAGTCATTGAGTCAACATTCACCAATAGAGTGAATGCAATGGTTAGACAAAATAAATTCTGTATGTTTCAAGCAAGATCTGGTGAGAACAAAAATGAAAACCGGTAACTAAAGACTTGCCTTCAAAACATATATTTTCCCCTTCACGATCGCAATCCAACCACAACACCATATAACTGCAACCACGAGCTTCATTACTTAAATGCCTACAAATATGAGCCTGAGATTTGAAGACTGTTAGAGAAAAGTGTACTACCGTAGAAAGAAATAAAAGAATAGAAGAAGCATAAGACCACTAGAAAGATGCATCTCTACTACTAACCATACGCATAACTCTTGTTCCAAAAGTCAGGCATGTCGTTTATTCATGAAGCAATAAAGCTCATCCTCTTAAAGTAAACCAATGTTGCTAAAAAATGTAAACTAC